CATCTCATCCAAATTAAGGGAAATAATTTTATCACATCAATATCATCCCAAATAAGGGGAATAATTTTATCACATCAATATCATCCCAAATAAGGGGAATAATTTTATCACATCAATCTCATCCCAAATAAGGGAAATAATTACAATCTACTCCTACACCGACACGTGTAGTTTCGGGGTTAGGTTATTTAAACCTACCCTTTCTCGGTGACTATCGATACTCCCAAAAATATTTTTGATTTGCTTGCAAAGGAAACAACAATACAAATTCATTTACCTCATAACCTTTCATACCGTATATAGCCTCATTGGCACTTTCAACATCATTATTTCATTAGCTCTCTTGGCCATACATATGATTCTTTATTCATGGAACAATGACCGTATTTCATATTACACACTTTTATTTCTTCCCTTTCATGGATCATCATCATAAATATCAACAAACAGAATATTTCGGAAATCACAACTTTAGGTTCATCAGTAATGAAGGCTTTAAACACAATGAATTTCTTTCCAAGAAATGGAGTAAAATGATTGGCAATCGAAGCACAAGTTAAAATCATAAACAAGTAACACATAATTTATTCTTGAAATACTTTTCCCCAAAAAGGGCAATACACCATTTCAACTCACGAATATGTAAGAACGCAAAACACATCGAAACTACTTACAAAGCATAGCATTGGTTAAAATAGCCACATATGGGCATCACTTGAGTTCATAAGCTTTTAAGAAATTCTATTTTTTTGAAGTCAATTTCGGAACTGTTGAATCAAAGCTCATTTCATAATCTTTCTCACATCATCTCATTTCATTGGCACCATTGGCCACAAGTGTAACTTTCACTGTTGGCACGTTGGCCACACTTTATATCCCCAATTCACTTATTTCACTTCCAACCATCTTTATAGATTATTAATAATAAGACATCTCCAATCAAGCCTTTAGGTACACATATGAACAATTAAGAGTCCTAAGCATATTGGGATTTTCTCACATAATTTGGCATCATAACCTTCATTTGAAACACGACTCAAAGACATAGCATTTTAATACACATATCATTCTTGAACACATTCCCAAAGGATAATATAATATGATAGGAACATTCGGAACACCTTTTGAATACATAATTCTCGACACTTTGTTTATTCGGGACAATAGAATTTATTGGGAACAACTCGGAACATAGAATAAGGAACTTGAGACAACCATACTTGAAACTTATGAGAACATCATTNACCATACTTGAAACTTACGGGAACATCATGGAATTCAATTCTAAGAGAGTAGTTTAGCCAACATACCTCGCTTTGAGCTTTCCTTAAATTACTACAACGTCCCGAAAATTCTAGCAATCCCAATCTATTTTGAGACATAACAAAATTGAACACAAATTAGGAAGGTCTTCATGGTTTCAGCTCATTTGAGCATTTTATCAAACACTAGGTGTGCAAATTTGGCTACAAGGTTCTTCTACAAGATTTCCTTCACTCCACAACCCAATCCTTACTTATTTGAGCTCAACAGTCTTCCCACAAACCTTATAAGTACAAGCATGTATAAATAATACTATTTTAATTACCTAATGATGTCGCCCAAACTCACACCACAAATATAGGTAGTGAGGAGGTCGAAGCAATAATAAAACCCAACGCAAGTGGGGGTCGAATCCTCGGGGAGTTAGAATTATGATTAGGTATATATTTAGTGTAATTGTACAATATGCCTTAGATTACACTTCCACATTCTTGTTTATTGTTTCTACTTCTACTTTAAACTATTGATTGCAATTATAAAACTAGGAGACAATATTTTTGGTTTTGGTTGTTTTCCAAATGATAAAAGATCTAGGGTCGTGACTTCCACCTAGGTGGTTACCTAATGGGTTGAAAACTCTAGGACAAGCCTGATTGGTCGGGGTTGTAATATAACAATCACATGCAATTACTCACTCTATACCTCTCGGTAGTTTGAGTGGTTTTGCCCAATTTGACTTTCTTAAGTCCAAATGGGTATTGCACAAAACAAGTGATAAATGCTCAAGTCGGGTCTTACTAACTCTAGATTCAACCCTTTAATTGGGGCTATCAATTTCTTGAGTTCACCCCAATTTCTTGTTTGCCAAGTTTTCCTAGACTTTGTTTCTCTTTCTCAAGTAAAGACTAAGTCAATTAGGCATGAATCAATGTTTGCAACCCTTAATTCTTGAATTTAAGCAAGAACTAGGCTAAATATCACTAACCCGATCACAAACAAGTCCTAAATCAAACACGCATTAAGTACCCACACTAGGGTTGGTCCACAACCCTAGCTAGAAATTTAGCTACTCGTGAAAAATGAAGAAATACAAGAAGAAATTAAGATAGAATGCATAATAATTGATTAGGGAAAGAAAATCTAATGTTTCGAAGCTAATCTAGTACAATATTACAAAACAGTAAACAAAAATGGCTCAGGTTCTCTCCCAAAACAAAACTTACCCTAAAAATGACAAAAGGTTCTATTTATACTAAGCTGAAAATTATGTGTGCGGTCCGGACAACGAGATTTGGCTTGACAGGTTCCAGTTCTGCGGTGGCACAATTCTGGATTGTGGCCGCACTCCTTCAACTACTGCAGACTGCACATTTATGAGTGTGGCCGCATTCTTGCTTCTCCGACCACACAATTATAGTGCGGCCCGCACTCCTTGATCTTAGGCTCTGGCTGTGTAAGACTTCTGCGCACCGCATAAAAATGAGTGCGACTGCGCTCTTGATTATGAGGCTGCACAAAAATGGTGCGGTCCGCATTTCTTCTTGAACTTGAAATCCCATCTCTCTGATCTTTGTCTTCTGCGGCAGCAACAGAATTGTGCGGTCTGCACTTTACATGTCATTTCATGTCAGAGGTTTTCTTCATTATCTGCGGCCGCACTCAATATTGTACAGTCCGTACAGTGTCCTTTTAGCCTTGTTTTTTTCCTTCTCCAATATTACTCCTTCTTGAGTTGATTTTCATTTCTTTAGCTTATATTCTAACACTCATGCAAGCAAGCATATTTCGTTAGATTTCGGGAATAACTTTAAGCAATTTTGAGCTAAAACGCAAGTAAAAGAGTGCAAATAAGAAGTCAAAATCCCTACTTATCAACTTCCCCAAACTTAAACTTTTGCTTGTCCTCAAGTAATTAAGGCAATTCCCACCTCTACTAGATAAAGGGCAATTTCAGGTGGCCTAAGGTGAATCAATCACACATCAATTGGGACCAACAATTACCCACAACATGAATGAATTATCAAGAATGCAATGATTTGATTTTTTGAGTACCATAGTTCTAAGGTGACACGAGAGCATCAAGATTTGACTTTATTCATCAAGGAAGCTCGCTCTTTCATGTAGGTCATTGTGGATCCCAAACTCCTCCTCCTTTACTCTCCGTTAGAAAATATCACTTTAGAATGCAACACTCAATTCAAGGATAGTGAAACGTTCGCTCATCTCTCTCAAAAGAATGTCACAAGTACGGCTTTAAGTACCATATGCTTGCCCCTCATGTAAATCACCACTAATGCAAGCTCACTCAACTTGAAATCACATAGGGCTTTTTTGAGATGTAATGAAGGCTTTTTGGATCAAGGTATGACTTGATGGACAAGAATGGGTTCATCTTTCCTTAAGCACTCCATTTTCTCTTTTTGGCTCATACTTTGTCGACTCTTTGAGTTAATTTCTTTTTCCTTGAGGGAACTAGAGAGACGTAACGTCACTCTTTCTTGATCATGACGTTCATTTTTCTCCTTTTCTATTTACTTCATGCCTTTCATCCTTGCTTTTCTGTGAATCCCTTCAACTTTTTACTTTATTCACTTTCTTTTTGGCATTTTTCTTTTTTTTTGTTCTTTCTTTCTTTTCTTTCCCTTACCTTTTCTTCATTTCTTTCTCTTCTTTGTACCTTTATATCACTTTCAAACTCCTTGTCTCTCCCCCAAAACTTATATTTTTGCCAATTGTTTCTCAAGAATACTAAGGAAAGATCGAGTGCCAAGAGAGGGTCATTACCAAATGGATAAAGGCTTGTAACGTGGTTATTGAAAGAAAAAGGGATTAGGATCAAATGGGTTGACTATGGATATTACATTGGTCGGCTATGGAAGATTTCAAATTTCAAATTGGACCAAGGAGAGCCTACAATCATTTTTCAAGCCAAGCTACACTTAGAATGTCGCCTAGAAAAATATTCGGGGCAAGTTCTAGACTATAAGCACGGGTACTTGGACTTGCAATTCAATACCTCACCTCTCACACTGATGGATTGCTAAAGAGAATGGAGTCGAGGGCCCACAATAACCCTAGTTGAGATTGAGAATCACAAATGGCTCGATTGAACCACTCGATGACTGCTTAAGTCAACGCAAGAGTCAAAAGATCACAACTTGAGCTAATTTCTGCCAACAACTTATTTTTAACCATAAGGTCGTGGGTAAATATGTTGGTACCAAGTGAAGCATGTTAGAGACCCTTTTATTCATTACTATTATTTTTTGCCTAAACATAAAAGAAAACGGACTCAATCCCTTAAGAAGGTTTTCACGCCATCTATCGTTGGGAAGAGCCACCCGGTTCACACAAAATCCGCCTTTGGAAAGAACCGTGGCATTAAGAAAACCAAAGGTTTATTGTTCACTCAAACGTAAAAAAGAAGCTAACAAACTAAAATCAATAATAAGTTATACTACTAAGAAAGACAAACTAAAGAAGCTAAACTACGAAAAGTAAGGCAAACAAATATACAAACCGAGGGGAAAATGAATATAAACATCAAGGGAAAGGGAAGAATATATACATAACCAAAGAGAAAATAAAGATAAAAGAAAAATAGTATAAGAGTTATTATAGACCAAATGTCTATGTCAAATCAATCAAAATAGACCACCTCACGAATAAAAATGAGCATTGTCCCCAATGCTTATCAAAAATAAGAACAAGCAGGGGTAGAGAGTTAAGAGAATTTCCTATGTGGTCTCAGCCTGCATGGCATCCTCAGCACCCTCGGTCTCCTCTAGCTGTATCTCATCATCACCTTGCAGAGGGACAACAGGGTTGCTGAGCATCTGTATTATCTCCTCAGCGGTGTGGGCAGTCGCAACCGGCTCCTCAGACTGGCCGGTTGCTGCCTCTGGTGCCTCAGGTACTGCCGGTGCTGCCCGTGCTGTTGGAACTGCTGGTGCTGTCTCCATGAGTAAATCCAGTGGTAGATCTCTGGCAGATGCAAACTTGGTAACTGTTGTTGTCAACTTATCCACCGACTTCTTCAAAGCTTGAGACTTCTGCATTTTCTTTACCTGCTTGCCCAACTCCTCAATGACATCCCCATGTGCCACCAGAGTCTCCAAAATGGTCTTCTGGTTGTCCTAAATCTTCTTCATTGTTTCCTCCACTGACGGAGGTACCTGTGGTGCAGCCTGGGTAGAAGACTGTGCTGCAATAGCACTGGATATGTCAGACAACTTTGAAGTAGCTGCATGCATCCAGTTGTTGAGACTCGCCAATGTCTGGGAGACTCGCAACACAGTTAGTGGATAAGTAGATGAAGCTGGCACTGATAATGGAGATGATGGTCTGGAAGAAGAAGATGGTGGCATGTCTGTTGTCCCAGTGGAAGGTCCGGCAACTGTGGAAGGCTCAGCAGCTGAATCAATAACTACTATCGTTGGCTCCTCAGACTGGCCAGCGAAGGTAGTTGCCTTACCCTTGAACTTCAGGTTGTCAGAACCCTGTAGGTGGTACCATGAGAAAGTCTTCTTGGACTTTACCTTAGTATCATACTGCCTTGGCTCCACCTTTTGATCATTGAAGTTCTCTGTGAGGAAGTTCGGGTAAGGGTAGGATCTCTTATCCTTCTGGACAGCCAAAGTGATGTTGGTTGACATCATAGCACCCACATTGATCGGGTACCCAGCCATAATCGAAGCCACTAGGACTGCTCAGGGAAGTGAGAGGTTGTTCTCATTCAAGCACGGGTCAATGCGGCTGCACACGAAAGTCTCCCACCCTTTAGCTTCAAAGTTTAGGGTGGCCTGGACTATGGGAACCCCTACTGTGAGCCATGGGGGTGGTGGTCCTCTAGCAGCCACAATCTCAGCCAGCCACGGGTGAGCTGCATCACCCATAGCTAGCTTCTCAAGATACTGAATAGCTTCCACTTCTTCAAATCCCACATAAGAGTTCAAAGCATAGGAGTCGAATTGTATTTCAGATTTCTCACTTTTGTCACCTTGGTACCTTTCTTAATGTGAGCCACATTGGAATAAAATATTTTACCCAAGTGCTCATTTGTATCGAGGACTTTGGGTGAACTATTTCCATCCTTTTCTCTCCTGGAACTGTCTGAGGATATTTGGGTTGTGCTTGTCCAAATCCTTCATAAAGAATTGTCGCTCAAGAGTGAGCGATCTATGGGGCCACCACTCTCTAAATCTGTTGAAGGCAGTCAAGCTGACAAATCTATCTTCCCACATCTCCCTTTTCTTCGACCTCTTTATACCCCCCCCCCCCCC